TTAGGTTACAATGATCTCAAAAAATCCTGATTGCTGATTATGACCTCAGAGACCAAGAGAAAAAAGTTGACTGTATTTTTTAAGTATTTTCAGAAAGACGAGTACAAGGATAGATGAAGAGAAAAATACCAATTGCCTTGATCAATTTTGTAATAAGTCATTTTTGATGTTTTCTGGAAGAGGTAAATCTTAAATCGATCAATTATGTTTTAAAGTGCACCGCTGCTCAGATGTGGGCGTGGCCTATCTTCGTCCAAGCCACGCCCTTTGGCCAATTTCTTCCTCTTCTTACCAAAAATCTTCCCCGCATTTGATATCTATCTAGATTTTAGTTTACGAAGAACATATATCTATCTGCATGGTTAAAACTATGCATATGCCTGCTTCGAGTTTTTCAAGGAATAAAAACAAATAGCCCAAATCATATTTGTAAAAAAAGAACATACTTCGGATCATAGCGACGACATAAGGCGATGAGTGATGGCTCCTTATGTTCACGAACAAGTGCTGAGATCGTATAATAGTGAAGAAGTTGTTGTGGAGGTATTGATGACAAAGCTCCCCAACCATAATTCACATACGCCTATTTTAAACACAAGAATGAAAAATATGGTAAAAGCAAAGTTTAATTTTTCACTTACCTGAGCAATGTGTGGTGAAGGCAATCTGATATTAACGCTTCCGCGACCACTTGTACTATAAGATACTCTTGCTAATTTTGACATACTCGACTGCGCTAAAGGATCTCGTCGCACCTTTAACAAACCATTAAACATGATTTAGGATGTGGAGGTTTGGCAATAACAGCAAAAACTCACTTTCATAATGACATCTTTACACAAAGTGTTTATTCTTGCAAATGAGCAGCTACTGCTATGCTTTTCCCAATGTTTCAATCTAAAATAAGGAATAGGCAGTTTGACAGATTAGTCAATCGCAGTTTTCGCTAAGAATGAAAATAAACCAAGCTAATAACTTATGTTTGATAACTTCTAGTAACTTATTAGAGTAACTCTCACAAAGTCGCAAGAGCATCTACTGATTCAGCGAAAAATTCTCTATATTTTGAAATCTGTTCATATGTTCAACTTGAGCCGAAAGATTTAGAGATGCAG